AGTGCTGCCATGACTACTGTAAACACAGGGGCCCTGGGTCTGTGTTTATGTGCAAACATATCTTCCTTCTGGAACAATTTACCATTAACCAGGTGGTGCGATAAACGGCTGTGGCAGTCGTACAATGCACAAATAAGCTTTTATGTATACAGCTTGGGCGTGTTTGAGGTAAAAGCTAAGCAGCATAAACAAAGGTAAATAAAGCAGGCAAACAAATAATGTGAGCAGATGGAAAACTACACAGAAAGCCTGGAATGAAACAGACCACCGAGCCTCAAAGATAAATGTCATTATTCTTGGGCTTACCCAACTATCACATTCACATATTGAGAATCTGTTAATCTATCAATCAGTTGAGCCCCACTGAAAGCCAACATCAACATTTGGGCAACATCTAACAGAAGAAATGTTACAATTACAAATGGAAGAAAGAAAACAGCTCCCAGTGTCTGAATAGTGACTACTGAACAGTTAGTTATGTCTAGCTGCAGCAACGTGTCATCATTTAGACGATTAAAACTAAGGTAATTCCTGCAATCCAAACCGTAAACATATCTAATCAAAAGAGGCATATTTGGTTGAGGTTTTCCATTCTGTTTACTTTTGCTTTCAGGATCAGGAGTATTTCTGAAGACAAAGGCCAGTGTTTCCTGTAGACATTTTTGAAGACGCCAGGGGTGATTACGGTTGTGGAACCAGGATCAACACTGGGCCCGTGCCACATCTGTTCCCCTATGCATCATTTTACAAACAGCCTTATCTGGATACTGTAATAATATGATAATTGGGAAGTCATGCAGCACTGCAACCGTTTTTAAAGAGGAACTGCGTAATCAGTACATGATTAATTTCTACTTTATTTATTTTGAACACAGGGGCAACCCTCCAGCAGTAGGGGCCACTTCTCTTCAAAGAATGCAGAGGAAACCCTGCAGAGAGGCCTTTCCTAGGAATGAGTAAACAATATACACCCTTTTTCTTAAGAATATCGTTTTGGACAAATGGTTTGACACAAGCTTTTAGTTGGCATCATCCAAATGGATAAGGCTACCCATGTAAACACAAGGAAACTAAAGCAATTTAAATAAACAAAAAATATACTTTTAAATCAATCATGCTAACATTTGTTGATACCAACTGGTTAACATTTATACAGACACATTCCCCAGATTCCCCACAATTTATCAGAAACACATTTTGCTCAAGTTCACATTTACTGATACTGCAAACCAAACATTTTTACATCAGCTTTCAGGGACAAATTGTGTCTTTGGTAATGTATTGCATAGATATTTATTTTCAGTGGTGCATTATGATATGAGCATTTTGTAACAAGCTAAGACGTTTCACATTTAATACAGTATTCCCACTGATACCTAACTTTACTATTATAACCACAAAAGCCTCTGATAATTGAGTTTTTAAATGCACTTAACCAGTTTGGTTTCATAATACATTGTTTTAGTCTTTGGTGCCGACTGATACTCGTCAGTGCGATCATTTACAATCTTACAAATGTCGATAACCTTGAAGACGTAATACCGTAGAAAGTTATAACCTCAGCTTATCTTCGTTAAATGAAATCTGATTAAAGCTGGTTCATTCTGTCTGAAGTTTACTTAGCAACACTTCCAGACCCAATTTCGACAGACGATCAAACCCTAAAGCTTATAAGGTGCCTAAGTTACGTTGCTAATGAGCGTTATCTGAAGTAACGTCAGGTACATTATAGCTACACTAAGTTAGCCTGATATGAATGGAGTCAATATCCGTTAACGCCAACCACTGCAGTCTGAGGTCTACAATGAGGACTTGAGCCTTTAACTAGGCACTAACACCGAGAAAGAGCAGGTTTAAAGCTGTGCTAACCAATATTAATATCATAGAGTAGGCTGTCTTTGAAGAACACATGTTAGCTAGTATAACAAATAGTGAGCGACGGGGAGGTAACGTTTGTGTTAACAGAACAACAAAAGCTAGCTTTCCTAACGCTAGCCTGTATGAAACGCTTCTCTCAGCCATTCGTTTTGACACCCCGTAATATCACATTAAATCCAACGTTAAATTAACTCCAGTGAGTGTAAGCACACTGTTTAGGTAAGCTTTACTCACCGAATTGCGTGCGGGCGGACAGTCTTTTGCTCGGCGTGGTGTCTGAGGATCAGCCCTCGGAGCTCTGCCTCCTTCCCCTGTAGCGAGCTAGCCACAAGTTGCTAACAGAGGGAGTGGCTTAGGTGAAAGTAAACATTGGTGACGTCACGCGAGACTTCAGTTAAAGAAAGTATTTATATTGTATCTATTTCATTTGCCCATACAAAATCAACCAATGCAATTATTATTGGGGGTGAACATCTTATCAATTAGTTGGAATTTAAATATGAACAGTTTATGGTTGACCTATTTAAAGATTATTATCAGATTATCATTATCAGATTCATAAAGCTAAATAAACCAACAAAGCTAAAGAAATGCATGTCAGTATCAAAATATATCACTATTCATCTTGCCTTCTGATTTAGTTGAAATGGTATGTCTCGTTATTTGTACATTCTTATAACCTGAAACTAACAATAACTAACAAGTACTTGAGTATTTCCATTTTATGCTACTTTGTACTTCTACTCCACTACAATTCAGAGGTAAATCGTGTGCTTTTACTCCACTACATTTATTTAGTACCTTTAGTTATTTTGCAGATTTTGATTACTAATGTGAAATAAAATCAACACTTAAATATGACTTTAGTTACACCTGGAGTAATTACAAGAGCTACCCTACAAAGTAATTAAAACTTGCTGCACCTACCAGCTTTAACAAACACATTAAGGCAACAATGATTATAATCAAAAGATATATTGTTCTGAAATGGACAATCTGCATAATGAGTACTTTTACTTTTTGTATTTGAAGTATATTTTGATGCTTATAATTTATTACTTTTACTTTAGTAACATTTTGAATGCAGGACTTTTACTTGTAACATAGTTTTCCTACACCCCGGGTACTTCTACTTTTAATGAAGTACAAGATCTGAGTACTTCTCCAACATCTGGTAACCAGGCAAAGGCAGAGGTGAAAACTATGTCTCCCTGCATCACTAACCAAACATGGCTCAGTCATAAAAAGGCATTTCATCAAGATTGTACAATCCAACAACAACACAAACATCCTGCTCATTACTGTCTGTGAACAGATTCCTTGCACATCTATGCTGCATACTGTAGATTACTGTCATTGTAAAGACAATACTGCATTCATACAAGACAAGGAGAGGATCGTTGTATGAAATGTATCCTGTAAACTGTGGTTTGTCCATGCATTGATAAAACCACAAGAGGGAGACAGTTTCCTTCTGGAAGTCATGAAATGGTGGCTCCGTATTCTTAAGGTCAACTAGGGGCATGGGTCTGAGTAAAATTAAAGCCTTTCAGGTCCTCAGTTTGTTCCAATGGCCACAAAAAGACTACCAGTTTGATTTGAACATATTTTTAATAGCTGCTTGAGAAAAAAGTCCTTTGGGATTAATAAAACATGTCTTTATTTGATTTAATGCGATAGCAATTTAATTAGTGGAAAATAGATATTATCAAATTCATGTATACATCTAAGAGTTGAACACAATTCCTACAAAGACAAACCCCTAACCCAAAAACTGGATCTATGTTGGTAATGTGATGGTTTTTTTATTAGTTCAATGAAATATGGATATTCACATCACACATACAGTACAGCAAGTATTTCAAACAGCAAATGTTGAAAGTTTAGGCATCTTTATTTCTCAAACACGTGTAAAACTAACAGAGAAACATGACAATTTCACAAGCTGAACACAGAGGACATTCTAAACTGCTGGTAAACACAAGGCACCATCCAAGATCAACAATCAGTTACAAAGTCTGAGGACTGAAGTGAGTGGTCAACATTATGTGCAAGGGTACAGAAGTATTCTCTTATCCTGCATTAGGTGCTTATATGACACCAACATAAGAGTGAAGAGAAAATAAAGCAAATTTGGCCAAGTCGGTGGTCTGAAAACTAACTTCTCCTGTCAATATTCTTTAGAAGAGGATCCAAGACAAGACAGCATCATCATAAATACTTTAACATTTGATTAGATTGATTAAATCACAGCAGCAGTGTTTCATTGCAAAATAGACAATTACTTCAAATGTCTAGGTAGTACAGTACTAGTACTCGAAAGAATCAGCTCTGCTCTTTGCAGCCTACAATATTCAATCTGACTCCCTCTTCTCAAACAAACAAAGAAGAGGTGCCTTTGGTGAGATGTATAATGGTTCAACATTTCCCGAATATAATTAGGTTTCAATAATACAAAAACAGTCTATACATCACCACCGAAATAAATCTTAAAAGCTATGTTTATCAGAGACACTGAGATGTGTCATGGTGAATATTCATCTCTGAGTAGCTTTCGTACAGATTTGACCCTGATGCAGTGGTTGCATTACTTCACCAAACACATACAGTTTGTACTAATACACTCAAATAGGCCTCAAGCATTCCCTCTAGGAGTAAGATTAAGAGCAACATCTTTTTTTTTCTTCTGATGTCTCTGCATGTGACATATTTTTCTGGGTCATGTGCATGTTCACATTTTTCCTAGGGCCAGTATTATCTACAAGGGTTAGGCTTCACATATTCCATTTTAACACAGGTAAATACATAAAAAACACAACATGTCGTCTACACATCTCTAGTTACTATTAAAAGCAGAAAACATAAACGGCTTTACATTTCCTCAGATAAGGTGACATAAACCAGAGTGGGTTTGGTCTCAGTTATTTCACACACACACACACACACACACACACACACACACACACACACACACACACACACACACACACACACACACACACACACACACACACACACACACACACACACACACACACACACACACACAAAGTGCTTGACTTGAGACAGATGCTTAAACAAAATGACAATAGAAATGATTGCATATATGTCTCAGCATCTACTCATGATTTGTGTAATGAGGTCATTTTATTTTATCAGGAACATATTCCTTTAAACAATCCGCTCGTATCCTAAAAAAGTCAATAAAGAATGTGCAATTTTCTGCTCAAATATCAGTATTAGAGAATACAAAATATTTATGATCGGCAAACGTTTTTTGGCTGTAACGTATAAAGCACTGATAAACTCACTAGAAAAGCCTTACATTTATTGTAAAAGGTTTGCTTTGCCTTCTTTTAGATCCAAAGAGACCTAGCTTTGTGCTCATGAAACAAAACTAAATATGCCAAAATACATCTAAAAATGTCCGACATGTACACGATCTGCTGTTTTGATTAAAGATTTGCAAAATGTTAAAGTATAAAAACACACAAACACTGCGACAGATAAAAGTCAAGGTAACATTTTTTTTTTCTTTTGACTAAAGTGAAACTATTTTGGATAATTCTAAGACAGTAGTGATTGAGAATCATAAACCATGGGCTCCATTTTGAGGTAATCAAGATGATCCAGATGAAGCAACTATAAACTCTATTGCTTCAATATGTGAGCAAATATGATCCAAAACATCCAAAATAAGTGTACGTCTCATGGGCTGTGATGTGCAAAATACCCTAACGTCTTCGCCCTCCTTCAAAAGCGTGGTGCTCCTCGTGTGCTAAAATACAAGCAAAACAACAATTACTCACATGTCTGTCATCGTCAACCCTCTCAAAATAGCATTATGTCGTTGAAGAAAACACTCACGTTTGTAAAACACAGCTTTAAAAGGGATATTGGGAAGGAGCTCATTGATCCTGCTTAAGATGTTTGAATCGTTAGCACAAGAAGCGTTTCCGTTCCAGACCTGAAACACATCTTCTCTGTCTCTTACGCTGACGCTGACACCCACAACTTCATCATCTGCGAGAATGAGAGCAGATGAGGATGAGATTCATGCAATTTAGTTAAAGTATTGTATACGCAAAATGCAAGGCTCTGCAGAAGCCTCTTGATTTTAACATAACTCAATCAAGATACTGACCTGAGGGACAATAATCACTGAACTGCTCTCCAATAATAGCCAAAAGCAACTCCTTCCACACAACAGGCTGTAAAACAAAAGACAACATAGTTAAAAAAAACATATAAGTAATAAGTCAATTGTACATAAATGTATTGATAATGTCACTTACAGTGCATTCCTTGGGTACTTTCATCTTCCAGACACCACCTTTAGCATTGCTTTCTTCTTCCCTAGATGCACACAATAAGACAGTGTTACACAAACCAATTAGCTTCAAACACTACGAACCCATACATGCTGTATTGTTACATTTAAACTTACCAGAGTGGTTTTCTTTCTCCTCTCATCAGATGATAGCTACATCTCATTAGCAAGCTGGAGACGCTGGGTATGTTGTTGTAAACTCTCCAAAAGTTCTACTCCAGGGTCAATGAGGAAGGGAAGAAAACACATGTTTTATTGAGCTCTTTACTGGCACAGGAAGGGCACACTTGGCCGTGTTAATGTATCACATTTGTTAGGATGTAGAAAATCACTGCCAAAGTTCTTTTCCTCATTGCCCTTAACCACACACACACTCTTTATCCAACATCGATGTGGTTACGTATTTATGAAGTGGTACTTGAGCTCTATAACAGGTTGCCATAATCACATAATAATAATGGCAGTAATCACTAATCAGTCATCTGGTAACTATACAGATTTACAGCAGGGGTTACGATGTCAACATTTTTAACACATGCTATGTAGCTCTCTAAACTCGTTATTAGTAAGGAGATAATGACACACACCAATGCCAACAGTGCATTTGAAAAAAATATGTATTGCTATTGAACCTTCATATTTTCCCCCATAATGCTATTGTTTGCTTTTGAAATGTGTCAATACCTCCACACTTAATGTAGAGGTTATGAAACTATTCAAGATTGTAAAGACTCTCACCTGGACGGTCTCTACGGTGTAGATTTTCTTCAAGTTTGACTCACATTCAGCTGCTGTAGTTCCTGGGAGAGATCTAACAAAAATAAATAATAATTTATGTGAATTTAGAAGTCAAAATTGCTTGTTCAGAATGTAGTTCCTCTTATCTTATCTAGTTTAGCATGGTCCTAATGCATTATTTCCAGTGCTACATTACTCAGACATTTTTCAGCTGTTTGCTGAGCAGACGTGTGGGGG